CTGAGAAACCAAGAATGACTTAGGTAATATATTCACCCTTCGATAGATTTAGGATCGCAGGCATCCAACCACTTCCACATTTCCTAACCTGAAGGCGGCGTTCGAGTTTATCGGGCGATATCTGATATGACAATGTTTAACCGTAAACGAAGTTTCGAGAAGGTATGCCACACTAATCAAGGCACCCTACCAAAACTGATGCACTTGTATGGAGTCTTTATCTGAAAATCAATGGTGTGTGTCAGGGATACTCAGTATTTCCACTTCTGCTTAATTTCATTATAGGCGTATTAACGAATGTGATCCTAATCGGGGATTAACTTGTTACCAGGATAGCATGCATATTACATTGTCTTCCTATGAGAAAAACTGACAAAATGCTGTTCTATGGACAACTTGAATAGATACCTTAGTATGTTTGGTATGAGATTCCCCCCTGACACAAGATGTATGACGATGCCACAGGATTTGTATCAACTGACTCGCAGATTAAAGATATGTATTAGAGTGGTTGAGCATGTTGACCTCGTCACTTATCTGGGACATTGCATCTGCCCTGATAGACTGACTGCTGATTAATGCTTAGCACGGATATAAAAAGCTTCTATGGCATATGCCAACTTCATCTCTGACGTATCCGTGATATTCAGCTATCGATCAAAGGATGTGTTTGCTGAGCAGCCCTTCGCCCCATCCGTCTTTTTGTGAGGTCTGGGCCTTGAAAGTGGAAGACATGAAATGGCTAGCTATCTTCAGTAATAGGTGTCTGTGTTCTACCTCCCATGTTAAGTGGTATAACATTGTTAAGAATATTCGTGTTAGGAGTAGAGTATTATATGAGGAGGGTAAGACAACTGATGTGACTGTGAATCGATTGAGATAGCTAGGACACGTATCGTACTGCCAAGCCATCCCTTTCCTCGACGAGCAACATTAGCCGATGTTGAACTAGGTTGAAAACAGTTAGCTGATATCAATCCATATAGTGTTTGAATAGTGATTTGAGACACGCAGGTTGGTGTAGATTGGGATCCTCACGGCTCTAGCATCCAGTGACTGGAGGCTGCTGATGACATAACACGAGGCCATTCTCAAAGGGACAGACGCATTCACTTTTTTTAACCTCCCAGATCCACTGCATCCTCATGTTCATGACTTCATTAAACCGAAAATTTCCTTCGCGGCAACCATCTTTTTAATATTTCTTATGATCTAATGTATACATTCCGAGATTTTTCTCTGCCTGTGTGCAGAATCTTAGGGGTATGCTCAAAGACACAAGGTGGGACTTGCTTAATGAAGACTGTCTTGATGACACAATCTCTAATATTACATGCTATCGCAAATTTTGTCTTGACACCTGTTGTCCCAAAAAGACGCCCTCCATCAGATTTGACCGTTTCTCCTCTCCTCAACTTAAAAAGCTTCACAGGCAAAAAGAAAAGTTATATAAAATGAAGGATAATACTGGTTTGGAAAGAATTGACATCCCAATAAAGTCTGCAATGCGCAGATTGAATTCAATTTACAACCAAAGTTTATATCCTTTAAAAATGCGTCTAATATATGGAAACATTTTAAAGAAATTACTGGTGCTAAGCAGATGAATAGTATTCCTTATTCCTTTGATGTTTGCACACTTGTAAAAGATAAATGGGATTTAGCAAGTTGAATAATAATTCTGTACAGTTCTATACGCTAAAGTGGCCTTCTTTAGCCAGTTGCAAGTCTGTATACTGTTAAGCGCCAAGTATGTAGTACAAGTAAATATAGTAACTTAGCGTTGATAGCTACTTCACTAATCTGTTAATATGCAGTGACATCATCAAATAGACTGTTCACTTGACAATAAGCTAAGAAACAATTTTTATTTATTTCTAATATGCCGTTGAATCATGGGATGTTATCTAATATCCATCATTTCTATGATCAACAAATGCGGTATTTACATACCTACTTTATGGATATTAAATAACTTAGGCCTATATGCATCTAATTACCTCCAGTATTCCCTATTCATTTGATGTGTGTACACTAAACAAGTATTTCATATATTCTCCCACAAATGCCAAACTTTCTAGTGTTACAAGTGTTAATGAAACCTGCTTCCCTGGTTTCAATACAAATGATGTTCTAAAATGTCTGCAGTCTCCGAATCCTTCTTGTAGCCTAGGTCCAGACGGTTTGCCTAGTGTTATTCTTTAAAAGTGTGCAGATATCCTGTGTTATCCTCTCATGGACATATTTGATGAATCTTTTTCCAGAAATGTTGTACCAGCCGTTTGGAAGGACATTAAAATTGTACCTATATCTAAGCTGTCTACTGGAACATGTTTTAAATTTAGACCTATTGCTATAACCTCCCCTTTTATAAAAACTATGGAAAAGTTACTCTTAATTAATCTTCAACCTTCACTTAAAACCTTTAACTATCCCAAACAAATTCGTCTATAAAGACAGTAGAAGTACTTTAGATGCAGCTGCAGTTTTGTATCGTAACGTTGTCCCCAGCTTAGACAAGGGGGCTAAATTTGTTCGCCACACCTTCCTAGATTACACATCGGCTTCCAACTCAGTACCTAGGGACATTTTGTTAAACAAGTTTGCTGAAACTCAAACTGACTACTGTTGGTTTGTCAAATGGCTGCATTCTTATTTCTCAGGAAGAAAGCAGTACACTGTTTGTCAAGGAAAGTCGTCAACTTCTTTGCTTACTGAGGTTGGTGTCCCTCAAGGTGCTGTCCTTTCTCCTTTTCTGTGTTCTTTCTTCTTGCATGACATTTCTCAATCTGATGTAATGAACTCTGTTAAATATGCCGATGATCTAACTATTTCAATGTCTGTTAACTCCCAGCTTCACTGTGCTAAGATGAACAGCTTTCTATCAGGAGTTAGCAAATGGTCTTCATCTAATGGTCTTAAACTAAATCCTTCCAAATGTCAGACTGTTAATTTCAGTTTCCGATGTAAACGAAAGTTAAATGAAGCCATTGGTTCCTATGACCCTTGCAAAATTGATGACACTGATATAGAAATCAAGTCTGAAGTTAAGTATCTTGGATTAATTCTTTCTTCTGAACTATCCTGGTCTTCCCATGTCTTAGCGATTTCTAAAAGAATATTTCGTCTGACTTTTTACATTAAGAAGTTGAGACATTCAGGCATAACCCAACCTCTCCCCTTACAGTTTGTCAACTCGCGTATTTTACCTATTCTTCTTTACTGTTCACCCTTATTCTTTCCTGGATTGCTTAAAAAAGACTATGTCATACTTTGTAGAACTCTGAAGACTGTCAGTAGGACGAGTGGTATCCCACTGGGCCATATCGTTGACATTGTCACTGATAGGCACTTGATGTCATGCAGCAAATTTGCTAAAGGAATATTGTCAGACTGTGAGCACCCACTCTACCCGCAGCTCCAACCTTGTGTCTCCTCAGGTAAAACAAGAAGTATTTTTAGAAGAATTTATGCACGTACGTCTAAGTATAAAAATTCCACTATACCATATTTAGCACGTATTTTATGTGATGAAAATAGTGTCAGGCATGAACTAACTAACCTTCTTTGCACTACTAAATAAACCATTTCTTCCACCCTTACAGTACCAAACTTTATTGTTATTGTATTTCTTATGTTTATAACCCTCTCAATTTTTTTCATAAGTGTGAACATCATTTAAGCTGTGTGAATAACTGTTACTTTTGTATATCCCCTCACTATACTACTATATCAACAGAACATTAGATTCAATAATCTATAAAATGCTAAAATTCCCAAACTGCGTCGACAATACTGTTTGGAACAAACCCATTGTTATTATTCTCATTTTGTACCTTGTCCATTTTTGACTTTATTCCTACCGTAAGTGTTGACAAATTCCTGTGCTTAATTTTATTTATATTTTAAGTAAATCAGATGCAAGGTGTTGTGACAAATGCTGAGAATCCCATTCTGTATTACAAGTACTGTTTTGGAATAAAGCAGATTATTATTATTATTGTTACATGTAGTTTGGCAACTTAGACTGATGCTCTCCTGTGAGAACTTCTATGCTGAAACTCAGTCATCACACAGCTCCATAATGCTGGGTTTGATTCAACCAAAACAGTGATTTGAATAGAATTTCACTGTTAAACTCAATTTGGTAAATGGTAAGATTGAGAAATCAGAAGAATACTCAGGATAGTTACCCGACACTAAGGAAATGAAGATCATCAGATTGCGGTCTATGTAAATCTTCGACTGGTTCATATGACTGCAGACAGATGCTTTTTTCTACGAAAAGTATCTGCAATTCGAGTTGTAGATTTATCCCCAATTCTAATGATGTTTACATTTAGACCAAGATGTTTAACGCAACTAGAGTACAGAGACCAATAAGACTACCATTACATTTACTTTATGACTTCATTTGAATGATCACTTATTTCAATTTTCCAACCTCCTGATATCACTTGGATGATAAGTAAACAAACTCCATGGGCTTTACAAATAACCAAAGTTAGGAATGAAAGTATTGAGAAAGATGGGGTACTGAACAGTTGCTCCGTTCTACTTTAAGATCCCTCAAAAATGTATTTACCTACGGCTCTGTAAACAATATTGCGAAACAAAAACTATAATATTCTGAGAAAATTCACTGACTCATGCTTTTCAATTTATCAATATAGCGCCGACTTCATTCTTCAACAACCTGATTCGACTTATCAAATTTCTCTTTAGCCAACACCATATTCATATAGACATATAAAAATAATAGTATTAAAAATATACACCAAAAGATTGAGGTTATGCGTGAAAATCTTGGAGATTTCGGAAGCTATAATGAGTTAACGCATCTAAATTACTGTATACAGTTTTGACCAATCATCGATCCTGCATTTCATCACTCAAAAGGTGGCTAAGCACTACTTTCCTATTGCACTTAAACCAACAGTCAGATTATTTTATAGATGAGTACAATGCCTTGGTAGTCACCTTAAGTAGAGCGTCAAACATAAAAATACTTCGATAGAACTCGAACATTTTTATTTATCATATACATGAAACACATAATGCAAGTAAGGTAGATAAAAGCAACAAAAAACGCAGATGCATGCAAAGGACAAAGTTACTTTTACACTTCTATTTGCCATAAACACACTCACACACACACACACCAACACGATGCTAGCACTTGCTGAAACAGTAATAACAATCAAAATTATTTTGGTGAACCACCTTTTATTATATCAATAAAAATGAAGACATACGTAGTTAATAAATGAATGCATGAGTTTACTTTATCATATCATTAATATTATGACAACAACAACAAGAATATTATTATTATTATAAGATGATCTATACTATTGAGCATTTTGTGAGCGCGTAAAACATATCATTGCTTCGATATTATAGACTAATTAAAACAAATGATTGTCACCAATGTTAATGCAGGTGATTAACAAAATCAAAATGAAAGTCAGTCATATGAAATGCAATTAAAATTGAGAATAAAAACAGTGGATAAACTGGTTATAAGATGGAGCAGTGATGACAATTCCTGTTACAATTATAGGTTTTTCCTCTCTTCTGTTTCATTTGTTGTTCTTTCGCTTTTATTCTGATGTATTATTCAATGATGACAAGACATGATAACATCACGAAGAACAGAGACTGGTTTGTTATCATCTGCTCGTGTGATTTTAGCATCTTCCAGAAGAATGTCTACAATTTCACAATCCGATGACTTGTCTACAAAATAATTAAACACATCGTTTTCAAAATTTTGTAGAGTTTACATGAAAAATTTGATTATTTACAAATGAAGTGAAGTGGTTCAATCGTTAACTGCTCAATAAATATAGCTTTGTGTACTATAAATATGTTTTGAGCCCCTATCGCAATCTTCCTACTAACGCCAATATGTTACGTATACGATATATGTATATATATATACGACGTATACGCACAATAAGAATTTCATCAACTTATTATTAGTCGCTAACAAAATTGACCACCAAAGGGAAAAGAAAAGACGACACAGTCTTCACTGGAGGTTTTTAACGCTCCAAAAAAAAGCTGGTTGGAGATATACACATCAGTTTATTTATTTTTTCTTATTTTTTTATTACAGCTTGATTCCACATTGTATTTTTGCTACAAGTATGGAATTTTCAGCATGGATATCAGTAGCCTAAATTTTGCAGACCGACCATAGATATCAGGTATGCGTTGGCAAGGGATCAAACCTCGGCCCATGTGCATGGTCGGCGAGAGTCCTAACCACTGTGCCACCGATGCACATGATCCTATACAAAAAGTAGCACACTTATAGAAAAAGTGTTGATAGCCAGTAAGGTAAGTGTGATTACATAAATAAACTACACAGTTAAAAAGGACATTGGTTATATATTGTGATGTTTAACAATAATCTGATAACTACAAATGATCAAGTTATTCATTTTTTCTATGAGATTCAAAAATCAATGTACTTTCAATGTGTGTGAAGGCTTTTGAATCCATGGACCGAGAGGTACTATGGAGATGTTTGGCTGTGAAGAAAATGACAACAAAATACATCGAACTCATCAAGACACTCACTCTACTCGAACTCATGCAGCCAGGTAACAGCTAACGGTAAATTGTCATCTGAAATGGTGACAACCAGTGGTGTACATCAGGGATGCCGACTGTCCCCACTTCTGTTTAATTTCATCATAGATTTACTAGTGGACTAAACTCTAACTGACTTCAGCGACTCAGAGATTGACTTGATACCATCATCAGCGAACACTATCGTTGACTTGGAATATGCACATTATATGCTCTTGATCGTAGGTTGAGACGCTGACAAAATGCAGTTTTCTCAACACCTTGAGCAACTATCTTTGAATGTTTGGCATGCAATTCGCTGCCTTTGTTAAATGTAAGATGATGCTACAAGACAAGACAAGACTGGACTACACTGACTCCTAGAATAAAAATGGGAAGTAGAATGGTACACCGTGTTGACCACTTCACTTGTTTGGGGTGTTGCCATCAGCCAGTCCCAGCGGGTCGATTGATGACGAAGCCTCAACACGGATACAGAAGGCTCCTTTGGTATTTTCCCGAAAACTTACGTCACTGTCTAGCGTAGACGCGATATCCAACTGGTTATCGACCTAAGGATACATCCAGCGCTCAGCAGTCCGCCCTGTCCTCCTTTATGGATGTGAGTAAGACATGACCATTGAAAATGGAAGACATAAAAAGGCTAGCTAGGTAGCTAGCTAGCTAGCTGTATTTGATCATAGGTGTCTGAGTTCTATCCCCCCCCCGCCTCCCGTGTGAAATGGTATAATGAGGTGAGCAATACTGAGGCAAGGCCTTGGTCGAGTACTAGGTAAGAAGAGGAAATCAGTCGATGAGTTTGTGAAGTTACATCGATTGAGATAGTTAGGACATGTGCTACGCATGCATTCCTAGCCACCCATCACTTTCCTCGATCGACGGACAATGGTAGCTGACATAGGATGGATCAGGTCGGAAAAGGGCCAGTGGTGGCCAAACCAAAACATGGCTTTATCAGTCAACGAAATCCACAACAGTTAGTTTAAGACACTTAGGAAGGTGTAGACTTTCTGAGGGGTTGGGGTCCTCAAGATGGTAAAAACCAATGGCTGGAGACAATTGATGATATGACTCAAAATTGTTCTCAATGATGGCGCAGTTGCATTCACTCTTTGTGATTTATCATAGCAAATAAAACTCTATTGTTTCTCTGCATTACTATTCTTTTTGCCTTATATCTCTGTTTTGAATCTTTCTCTACTGTCTTCTCTTGCTGTGTGCTATATGGATTGCTGCAACTCGAACTGCTGCACATCTGTGCTAAGCTCTACGTTGAAACCAGGCAATCAGTCACGTTAAGGCTAGTGGCATTATCAAGCTAAATTCCAAAATATGAAACAGATATTGTGTTCATGGAGTAGTGAAAAGCTGGGCATTATACTCAAAAAGTGTCGTAGAACTATTATTAGTTGTAGTATTACTCTAAAAATAGTAATAAAGATATTTCTGCTAATATGATGTTTAAGTCATCAGAATGATAGAATTACATACAAATGTTCTTAAATATCACTACTAAACATCAATTTTAGCATGTTGATTCCTTCTTATTTTATCCTTTATTTTTAATAAATGACATGAAAAACAATCGTAACATGATCACTCACCTGCCCCCTTATATGATCTTGGTAAGGTATCTGATTTAACACCCATCACAGTAGCCAAGTCCACACTGCGTACTCGACGAATATTTTCATGATCTGGTGTCGTTTCAAAAATCACAAAATTAGCAAAAGAATACCTTTATCTGTATGATGATTAAAGGTGAATTCATTTAGAAAACTAAACTAGCTGAAAATCCATAATCTATACGTATGTAACATCAGGTCTTATCTAATATTCTATTGTGATATGCTAGTACAATTTGTGGTAAATTGAATCAACATAAAATTATGCTGTTATGATATTAACAATATCAGTCCTTCTCTTAAACGGAAATGAAACTAAATGTCACTTGTCTGTACTCTATCGCATTAACCATCCAATCATCCTATATTACGTAAGTCCTCCCCATTTCTGTTTAACTTCATCATAGATATGCTGATGGAAGTATCCTTAACTGAACGTAACGACTTAGGAGTCGACTTGTGTACAGGGAATAGTCTTATGGACTTAGAATATGCAGATGACGTAGTCGTGTTAGGGGAGGATGCTAACAAAATGTAGAGTCTTCTGAATGCCTTAATCAACAATCTTCGTATGTTTGGCATGCGATTCGCCCCTGTAAAATGTAAGATGCTGCTACAGGACTGAACTACGTCAACTCCTAACTTAGTGATAGGGAGTGAAGTGATAGAACATGTTGACCACTTCACCTATTTGGGAAGTTGTATTAGCACCAACGGACTGATTTGCGACGAAATCTCAGCACGGATCCATAAAGCCCCAGCTGCTTTCGCTAACTTACGCCATCTCTGGCGTAGGCGTGACATCCGGCTATCAACCAAGGGACGTGTGTACTACTCAGAAGTTCGCTCCGTCCTTCTCTATGGCCAATACGAGTTGAAGACATGAAAAGGTTGACTGCTTTCGATCATAGATGTCTACGATCTCTGTCTCACGTTAGGTGGTTTAACATGGTAAGTAATTTTGACGTTAGGCGTAGAGTGTTGGGCAAAGAGGGAAAATCAATCGATGAGGCTATAAAGTTACATAGATTGAGATGGCTAGGTCACGTGCTGCGCATGCCTAACCATCGCCTCCCCCGACGGGCATTACTAGCTGATATAGGCGCAAGTTGGAAAGAGTAAGTGGTGGCCAAACAAAAACATGGCATCAATCCATGAAATCCTTGACAATTAAGCTGAGTCAGGTAGGGAGATGCAGACTTCCGGGTTGGGGCTCTCGGGACTCTAGGAATAAATGGCTGGAGACAATAGGTGACATGGCTCAAAATCGTTGTCAATCGCCAGCGCAGATGTATTCAGTCTCTGTAATCTTTCATATTCCTTTCTACCATTACCCATTCTGTTTCGCTCTTATACCTGTCAAACTATTGATTCTCTTCACTCATCTTCTTGTCTACCTTTGCGTGCTATTTGGAACGTGGCAACTCGAACTGGTGCACTCCGGTGCCAAGTTCTATTTTGAATCCAGACAGACAGACGTAAGTCCAAAAAGCTACACACACACTCACAAAACTGACTAGCTCTAGCACTCAGATTATGGAAGGCCATTTCATCAAGTTGTTAAAAAATAAAACAGTGATCATTAGATCCAAAAGGTAACATATAACCATCAATACACTCACATGATGGAGCATTTTTCCAAGTGATTGAAAAAAAATGAAGGTACCAAAGAGTTCAATAACAAAAAATCTTACAGAATGTGGACATGATACTAACTCTGTCAAGTCATTCACTGTTATCAGCAGACAAACAAATAGAAAGGTGCTTGCATTTGCGGAGGCTTGTGTTATAAACGCAGTGTCCATGTACCGAAAGAAACAATGGTCATTTTGAGTCCTCCATGATAACATGTATCACTTATTAACTGTTACTGTTACCAATATTTTTAAACCATCTATTATTATTATTCTTGGTTCTTTTAAAACTATTCTTTGTCAGTACTTTTGTCTTAACTCGTTTTTATTAATAATATGCAGGTTGTAATTCTTGATATTTCCAAGTTCTTTTTCTGATAACTGATTGTTTATTTAAGTGATGTAACTGAACTGTAATGCATTATCTTGATTTTAATATCACATACGCCCTTTCTACCAACTTAATTTGGAAGTATTCAGTCCTTTAGCTTCGCATAATTGATTTGATGTATTGATTTAACTAATTACCAGTCATATATTTCCCAACGTATTTCTAATGAAATATATATATATCATTGTACTGAAATTTGATGAATTCATTAAATCCCACTTCAGTAACATTTGTTGCTTGTTTTAAATGTATCTGGAAATAAATGTTTCCAAGTTTCATTCTAAGATATATCAAGTAAGCGAAATGCATGAGCGAAATGAGTACCTAACCTACAGTCTCATTTGAAAATTTGACATTTGTTAGGGCGACTGAAGTTGTAACAAAAATTATTAATCAGGCTTGTCAATTCTTCCGTTTGTTACTTCAATTTATGCTTTTTGAAAATATGGCATCTTAAACTGATGCACCATCTTGCGAACCTCTATAATGATTCATCTGGTAGTGAAGTACTTTAGATATTAAAGAAACTAAAAATTATAATAAATGATGATGCTTGCTAAGAGCGCTAGCTACACTAATCCCACCTGAAACTACTAAGGCATAATAGTGCCTTTCGACAGTTAGCAATGCTATCCAGGGAGTATCCAATGAAGACTAGGAAAAGGGCAGTCTTCCACATTAACTAATCAAAAAAGGTCACGTTGCTTAACACAGGTTTCTTATTCGTCTAATATATGATGATATTATAGGATAATCTGCATCGACTCTTAGTTTAGTCGAATGCATAGAGAGCTTAGCTTACTTGGAAATTGTCAACCCTAATAAGCTGGTTGGTGAAGAAGTATCGCTACAGATGGAAAAGATGAGTTTAGGATTTGTCAGTATGCGTGACCAGTTGTCTGTCAATATGTGATAGAAACATGGATCAGTCATGTTTACACTGGTTATTGCACTATGTAAGCAAAGCAATTTAGTTAATACGGTCAAAAGCCCCTAAGGAATAAAATGGACAAGATGCATTATACATAGCCACCTATATTTTAAAGGGAGAATGAGTGCAGTAGTGTAAAATTCTAAGACAGAGTTTGGTTGAGCCATATACGCTATAAACGGTACTTGTGTCGTGTTGGAAAATGTTCGCTATCCAACTGGAATTCACGGGTCAGTAACCAGTGGATGGATGTCTGAATTGGAATGACCCAAGATCAGTTACAATTTACTCGAGATGTGTTTAGTCGTCGAATTATACAAAAATTTGAAGATTTTTATATGAAACTCCAAAGCACTATTCTTCGCTTCATACCTAAGACAAAATAACTCCAAAGGAATTTAAAACAAACAGTTATTTGTCGATACTTCTAGTAGCACTATACACTTGTTCACCTGGCTAAGAATAATACAGTTATGAAGTGGAACATTCACTTTAGTAATTATATTGCACATTTGCAAATGTCGTTGCAATAAAAACAAATTCATTGCCACATGAAAAGAAAGTGACCATTTCCAAACTACAAAACCAATTAACCTACATTTGGTGTGACATTAAAACTCAAAATTCATAACGCTTATATGATAAATATTTCGCATTTGAACTTGGGTCGACGAATTGATGTTCTTGTAATAGATAATTTAGAGTGAAATGTATACTTGGGTTTCGACTGATAGCCGTAAATTAATAGTTTCACACTCTACTTGCCGAGTTAAAAGACTCAAACATCAGAGGATCGGCTTAGAAATCTAGAAGCCGCTAGTGAGAACCCTAATGTAACCCAGGTATTATCCTTAACCACTTGTCATATTGTCCTACCAATAGCACAATCACTGTCATGAGAAAAACCCAATGGACTAACCAGGAAGAAGAACACGTAACAAATCAGGTTGATCACCATCATAATCACCACCGAATGGATCTGGGTTACTTGGTTTCACTGACTGGTCTGGTATCTAATTAAAAACGATAACAAAAAAAAGATGATAATGGTTAAGAAAGAGGTAACAAAGTTAGTAAACCGATACACGTTTGATGGTAATGAAAATCCACTAAAAGACATTCTGTCGAAGTTAACAGTAGGATTTATACTTTTGAGATGATGGAGAATAATTATGCTTCGAAATGTGTGTTCAAAATGAGTTTACTTTTGGTTTGCGGTTTTGATCGGTACATGTGTCATTGTCGTAGGCGCATTGATGATTCATCAGACGACTCTGAATCACCAGATAAGTCATCTTGTAAAATCAAACTTTAGTGAATTTCCAAACACCATACTACAACTATTCCCTGATAAAAAAAAGAAATGGCTAATTAGTGAAAAGAATGTCTTTCCAATGGTATTTCTGAATCAATGAGGAATTTTCAATCATTAAAATAATATGTTGTAACTTGAATATTCTTTTGAAGTGTATGATGAATACCTTAAGCCTTTATTCAGACAAAAAGACACATTATAACACGAATAATTGTTAGAAACTTCACTGATTTCATTTTGATTGCAACTATTTCTTTATTATGCTCTAGATACTTTAAACTTCAGCTGCAAAGAAACAATCAAAACCATAAATAAACAACAAAACATACACCCAAGGAAATCCCTTCAGTTTAAACTTACAGCAGGTATCACATCCATATTATATCCTCCGATAGGTGGTCTTGACACTAGACGATATGCCGGCACACCAGCACACCATGACATAATCAATGAATTGTGGATAGTATTATATGGATCTCTATCAATAAACCAAGGTTCCGTCACAGGATAACCTTCCATTGATTCTTTCAGATCATTTCCATCCTAGCAGATTAAATGAAAAAGTATTATAAAAGATCTGATAAGAAGAGTTCATTTTCTTTGACATCTTTTGATACTGAAAACTGTCACTAGTCCCAATCTTGCCTGAAACATATCTTAGCATATATAAATATACCCAATGACCAAATTTTTCCAAACTGTTAAAAGTGATTTTGGTTTGGACATATATAAGATTTAAAATACTTTTGAATATTGCACCTTCCTCAAACCCTTTCTTTTTCCTCTGTTTCGTTTGACTACTAGGGTTTGGTGGATTTTCAAGCTAATCATAAAATTTCATCGGAAAATCATAAGAGATTACGTGCAGGACACTATCCAGAGAAGACCTGTTTATACCTAAAGGATCAACATGCATAGTGATAACAGAAATAACATATCCATAGCGTGTTTTTGTGCACACAAGACAACTCTGCGATTTCTGACTGGCATTGTCTTTTGTACAAAACTAATCCTTAAAACAGTTTTACTTCACTGTGCAGTAGTTCTTCCATCATTCCCTTGATAATAATCCAACGAAAAATTTTCGCATGTATGATGGGTTTGTTCTGACAAGCACAACAGTCACTAAATTGCCACCAAGTCCCATATATTAACTTGAGATTACCTATATAAATGTATGTATGCAAATGAAAACTATTCAGTTTGCTACACTAAAATTTCGAACATCTGAGGTCAAATTCATCCCATGTATATTAGTTTACATTTGTCTCCATATTGCCGTGTGCCTGGTATGCAATGAATGGGTGAATGCTACTTAACTACAATTAAATATTAAGCTATAGACGGATGGGTTTCAAATTTATCTATGCTATAAATCTCTTCATAGCCTAGAACAATAGTGCAGTGGCGTTACTATAAGTTCTCTTCACTTTATTAGAAAAAATCCTGAGCAGCAAAGTAAGTACCAAATAGAGGAAAAGTGGAATTATAAATTGAAGCAGAACTTACATTTAATCGACGCAAGTAATCTTCAACTCCAGATCCTCTTAACTCAGCTCTCAGTGGTCTAATATAACAGTGTTTATTAGTCCTAATCACTGTTAGACGTTCAGAGAACAAGTGTAAAATGCGTATCACATTATAGTATGGTACTTCGGACAATGTCACATTGAGAAAGTTCTCATCTGCTGTAATTGATTCTACAGGATCAATCTTCAAAAATGGGATGCGAATGCGACAAATTGATTGATGGCCATTAGATTTATGAGTAAGCGCAGTTAACGGTCTGTATCCAAGAATGTAAAGCAACAGAAAGACGCTAGCAATCATCAGCAGCGTAAACAAGACGAAGAGTGAGCCTAGAAGAAAAGGCCGATGACGACTGGGACGATTTCTGCGAAGCGGTGGTCCATAGACTTCTGATCCAACAGGCGGACGAAGAACAAGAGGTTCACACTAGATTTCAAAGAACAAAAACAGGATTGATACTTTGATGACACATGTACATATACACATCTTCAGTAGTCTTTTCTTAGAAATTTGTCTCTGAATCATTGTGGCCAAAGGTAATCTATGGCAGTCACCCCTACCAACCAAACCACTGACTTTGAGTAACTAGTCCCAAATTCTCGAAAGACCAGTTATCCCGTCAAGATTCCTCCGCATATGCATGTCTTAGTAATTCCAAATAATCCACTATTCTCATAATAAATAAACACTACATTTTCATGAGACTCGCTAAGAGAATCCAGAACAAAAGGTATGGTTCGACTTGGTTAAAGAACCTTCAACTCAAATTGGTTATCGAAGGTCATGTATGAGGGTGGCTACTATAGTTTAACATCACTTTGTGATTTAATAACAGTTTCACTAGTTCTTAATGAATAATGATGAACACGCTTCAAACGTTATGATCACTAAACTAATGTTTAAAACTACAAAACATTCGCTGTCTACATAATGGTCCCACCACAAAAGCTTAACTTCAGGCGCCTCAGATTCGAATACGCTCAACAATAGAGTAGGACAGAAAACATTTCCCGTGCTACCACTGGAAGGAGCTACTTAATACAGGTGTCAGTTCTGGACTAAGTGGCTATCTTTATCCTGCTAGAGGAAAATGAGACTAGTGATACGAAGCAAAACTGATTGTAACCTTAAACACGTTCAGGCTTTGTTTTCAGAAAGGTCCTGTGTTTTGACGTTTGATCTCATCTTACCCTACGAAAGATGACGTACAATACACAATTATCTTCTTTTTACTCTGCGTGCAGACAAAGTTCACGGTCAGCAATCACACTTGCAGTACTCCATTGTATACCTAGACAGTCATGCAAAACTACCCAAAAGTTTGGGAAACGAGATTACTTTAATGCCGAGAGAAACCAACTTCTTGTGCATCCAGGAAAACGTAACATTCTAGTACTACAATAGCTGGGTACTTGGTCCCAACATAGCAAACCTAGTACAAGTACCATGTTTAAGCGAGCAAACATGGATATGAGGAAACATCTCATTCCGCATTAACCTATTAACGCATGGCCTCAATTGTACAAGGAAGCTTTCATTGTCATTTCCTTAGAAATAATCAGGAAAAAGGTCCCACCTATCCAACAAATTAGCATATACATATTCTGTGTCCTAGAACTTTGATAACATCTCAAAAGAACAAGCGAATCTGCAAAAATCTTTTGATGAAATTCTGAATAATAGAAATATAAAAAGACCTACTGGATCAACAGCCACCTTCTCAAAGTTATAAACACTATCTTGAGAGCCCATTTTGCGTCAGGCTTAAGTAGTGCGCCCAAAACTCAAAACTAGTTAAACAATGTGGGTCTGTAAGAATCTTAGTCTTAGTACTAGTTTCGTGTTAAGTTAACCCACTGCAGTTTTACGAAATTCCTTATGGTTTGAATAAGTGCAGTTTCTCTTCGAAGAAGAAGAGGTTCAGGACTGGTGGTTCCAAGTCTAAGGCATGGTAAGTTCGGTGATCTATTTTCAGGTCGGCTACGAAGTGTGCAGGGATTGGTTACCCAAAACAAGGCAACGGATGACCAATAGGAGTGCCCCTTCTTTCTCATCTAATTTTGTTGTGGTTGGTTGTAAATGTAATCCTTGACCCTGAGTCTTCGTTCTTACTGGCACGTGACACCTGTGTGATCACACTGCTAACGTGCGCTTTGCTCTCTGTTTCATTTTTAATTTAGTTTTTAATTTTTGATTTACAGCTTGATTCCACACTGTATTTTCGGTACAAGTATGGAATTTTCAGCATGGATATCGGTAGCCCATAGATATCAGGTATGCGTTGGTAGGGGATCGAACCTTGGCCCATGTGCATGGTTAGCGAGAGTCCTAACCACTGTGCCACCGACGCATCAGATCATTGCTTGGCGAGTGGGGTTACATAAATGGCGAGCCTGCCAACGAAAAAACTTTCCTCTTCTAAGTCTCAATTCAGTGAGTCTTATAAGAACATTTCTCCTGTCAAACAGACAGCATCTAACAAGGCTAATCAATTAGTTAAAGTTATGGCTCCAGCTTTTCAATCAAATCAGCCTGCGTCCATCCTTTGCCTCATAAACTGAAGGTCGGTGATGACTTAGAGCCGTGGTCGGACAAGGTGCGCTGATACGTTGATCTGATGAACGTATGTCAATCACGTCTCATAAACCGTTAATGCCCAGCTCTCGCTACGCTCGGGCCCACGCTGTTCTTCGAAGATTTCTCAGAAATGCTTAGTTATAACGGACGAAAAAACCAAAACACCGATTGGCCGCTTGATATTTGTTTATTGTTACACCAACATATAAAAGGAATAAGCGAACTAAGGTTTCTGACGATGTTTCACTCTTCTTTCTGAACAGCGACCGATGAGACGATGACTGTCGTATTGATGCCTCCGCGAAAATTGGGGAAGTTGATTTTGAGCAAACAACCAAGAATTGATCGTTCAATCTTCAACTCCATTGACACTCCCCGGCAAAAAAGGGATCCAACCCTTTTTTCCTTCACGACCAATGCACGTTGACTTGGATGCCATTGCGAGAACCTGGGTCACACGGACAGAGCTGAAATGGAAAACAAACAGAAAAGCCAACACACCACAAGCATACCCACAGCACAATCTCACACATCGCTGACGACCTGCGCCTCCAGACAGAGACCTCCTCTTGACATCTTGCAACACAATCGCCACTTGCTAGAATGACTCTTGCAGAATGCAACGTGACCATGGCAGCACCTCACGATACTCTACGCACATCCTCTTATCTACTCATTACCAATTACCACTGAAATCGCTTGTCACTCATTCTGCCTCAGTTCTAGTAGCGGTGACGCATGCGAGCCTCAGTCGTTTACACTCTTTCTCCCCGGCGTGTCGGACCGCAGCTAACAATTATCTCCGTGTGCATTTCATTCTCAGCAATAGCCTAGCCTCCCCGGCGTATACGACCCATCTGCTGTCCTTAACATCAATCAATTCATTCATGGATGTAGAAGACAAGAAACAACTTCAGAAGTAATCACGACGAAAATTTTAACAAAATTACGCAATAACAACAAGATACGAAAACAACGAGTAAACACAATGAATCCAAAATCACAAATTGCGAAGACACACCACACGTATACACAAACAGTACACACAAACTCGCAGATCATGTCTTGATGGAATTCCTTTGAAGAATTGCAGGACTTACACCAGTACGCCTACAACCCTTCTCAGGTTGACGATTGTAATTTGTGGAATGTCCGGACACAAACAAGATTAACCAACAATTACATCAATTGGAACTCACACAACTATTTAACACAAACATATGTACAATCAACACATCAAATGTTGTGGATTCCGGCATGACAAACTACCCTTGAAGAACTGTAGGACTTACAGCAGTACGCCTACATTCCTTCTCAGGTTGATGATCCAAGTGGAAGTCGTCCGGACACAAACAGAATTACCAACAGCTAGATGACAGATGATATCAATTCAGTATATACAATATGAACATATGTACAAAATCACACACCAAGCACATTGGACTGCTCATTGATGCGCTACCCTTTGAAGAATTGTAGGACTTACAGCAGTACGCCTACAACCCTTCTCAGGTTGACGCCCTAGGTTGGAAAATCGTCGCAGAGTTCATTTGCTAACTTCCTTCTATCAGCTATATCCTCAAATCTGAACGGCAACACGCCCATGTCATTGTATCGTAGAATATAGATGACCAACAAACACACGACATATCTCATCAACCAAGTGTAGAAACAGAGTAATTTACACCAAAGATAATAACATTCAAATAGTAACTTGAAACTAGAAATGCCTTTATTCGTGCAAGTCAATTTAACAATAACTCTCTCCTTTACACTTGGCTTATTCACACTAAACTGACCATTGATATTCGTCCTTTCAAACGAACTGATACTACCATAGTCATTGCACAAGATACTTGAGTTGATGGGCATCTGTTTCATTGTGGATGACAGCACCAACGATGACTGAGTGACACAAGGTGATGAACTTAGTGGTGGATCAGAAGCTGTTCTTGTTCGGCTCTCAGATAGTTGTCCAACTGCAAGATTACCACCACTGCTGTCTTTCACTACTAGTTCGGGTTTAGCACTATCATCTGATGATAGGTGGGCTACACGCTGATCAATTACACTGACTGTCTCACAAGTATGCACACCTTCTGGAACTGCATCTGCGTTCAATTCTACTTCACGTTGTAGTTGTACAGAACCTTTATTTAACTTAGCAGTAGTAGGCATATCCCTCATCTCATCATGATCAACCAAAGACAACTGTGAAGTATCATGATCATTATCACGAATATTCAATTTACCGTCAAGTTCATCATTTTCAAACTCTTTAATAACAGAAGTAGACAATTTTGGTTCCTCCTCACAAATCATTAAAGGTTTTATATCTTCACTCTGACTAGTTATACCTTGTAAACTTTTGGAGTCAGAACTGCACTCTGAAGCAGTAACTCTATTCTGTGACACTCTATTCAACAATGGCTTACCAGTTGCAACTACAGACTTCTTCACCGCACCGTTATCGTCACACAATTCGGAGTCAGACCTGGAGTTTACATTTAGCTTATCACTGAACTTGCTCACTGGTTCACAGTTCACTTCTGTATGCACCTCTTGCAAACGTGTAAACACAACCGTGTTTGTCTTGCATCTTGTAACTTATCTGTTGAGGATGTACTACGAAACCTGTTACACTCACTAAGTCTATATGCATTACTAGACATCATGGAGTCTTCTCGATATCCACCTCTCTGAGGCTTATTCGTCATCAATGATTGCGTTTTACCCTCAGACTGCTCTATTCTAGGGGTGAGATTCAATAGACTGGCGAACTTGCTCATAGATTGATTGACACTATCTTTTACCAGTTTCAGGATATCATCAAACTTTGGCTCGATACCCTCATCCTCCATACGGGAGCTTATCTTCACCCACTTCCTTTGCAGTCGAGTAGGTAGACGTCTTGCTATTACTTCTAGTATAAAACTCGAGTTGAGGTCACTCATGCGATTCATCGAAATCATTCCATTCTTGTAAATTAGCAAATTATCTAAAAACTCAGTGAGTGCCTGGGAGTCATCCTGTAATTGACCACCATTACCCTTAACAGCCTCGAATAATTTCCCTGCAATCATCGAAGGTCTTCCAAACCTTTGACGTAATATGCTCATAGCGTCATCGTAGCCCTCTTTTGGCTTCATAAACTTACAGCACTGTATAGCTCTTGCAGCATCTCCAGTGCAATATCTCATCAAATACATTAACTTCAATTCATCATTTAATAGAAAACTACTCAACATGATCTCAAACTCCTTTACAAATTGTAAATAATCGACCGGGTTTCCATCAAAACACCGTGGTTCAAATTTAGGGAGTTTGATGTTCCTATTATCCCTGAACGGCGAAACAGTAACATCAACCATGTCATGCTTAACATCAGACACATCGTTACAATTAACAGACAAGTCACCATGACTTACTTTCCTGTTTGCATCCAAGACACTCTGTCCCTTCTTTGACCCAGGCATTGTTGAACTTGACCCAATTCCAAAAAAGTTCCAGATATTGCTTGTTCAAAGAGGACTTGACCGGCACCAGGAAAAATGAACGGCGACTATCCAAACTTTCACCAACTGTTTGAATCCGCCAGATCTGTTTCCATCGTCAGAAACTGTCAATCACGTCTCATAAACCGTTAATGCCCAGCTCTCGCTACGCTCGGGCCCACGCTGTTCTTCGAAGATTTCTCAGAAACGCTTAGTTATAACGGACGAAAAAACCAAAACACCGATCTGCCGCTTGATATTTGTTTATTGTTACACCAACATATAAAAGGAATAAGCGAACTAAGGTTTCTGACGATGTTTCACTCTTCTCTCTGAACAGCGACCGATGAGACGATGACTGTCATATTGATGCCTCCGAGAAAATTGGGGAAGTTGATTTTGAGCAAACAACCAAGAATTGATCGTTCAATCTTCAACTCCATTGACAACGTACCTTAGCCGAATGCATTCGTCATCGATTGTGTTGGACGGTCCTTGGAAATGCATATAATTGGTTTAGATTATGTGCATATGCCCTTGATCACCCTCTTGAGTACTGTAAGAGCCCTTATAGTGCCACCAGTACCTCATATTGAATTGGTGAAAAGATTCAGTCAGTGCAACCAGAAACAACGTGAATCCATCAACCAGCTTACCTTACGTCTCCGCAAGCTTGCGCATCAAGCTAAGCAGGACAAGACGTATTCAGAAGTTGAAGACGCTATATTTTCCAAGTTCCTGCAAGGTGTTGACTTCCGTTAAAGGACGGACTTCAACTTGCACACTCCAGAATCCATGGCAGAAGCTGAAACTATGGCACGCTTAGTGGAAAGCCTGAAAGAGCCAGGAATCGCACGCACACAAGTAAACACAATGGGATATCAGAACAGGACTACAGAGCATGCACAG